TGTTGTCGTTGTTGTTGTCGTTGTTGTTGTCGTTGTTGCTGTTGTTGTCGTTGTGTCGTTTGCTGCTGTTTTTCCTTTTCTTCTTCTTGTTGAAGTATATGTTGCTGTTGACACTGTTGTTGTTATTGATGTTGATGTGGTTGTTCAATTTTCTTTATCTATCTATATTTCAGACGTAAATGAATGCGATGGACCAGATAACGGATGTTCCCAACACGCAAGTTGCCTGAACTCAGCAGGCTCGTATCAATGCGAGTGCAAACCAGGGTTTTCTGGAAATGGCACTTATTGTGTGACTGTCCCAAAAAATTCAAAATTTACGACTACAAAAGCAGTACAATACAAACTTCGTGAAATCCATTATTTCACGATACAGCATCATTTGGTGATGGAAACCACCCTGGCTGAAATTATACACCAATATGCACAATGTGTTCTAGATCAAGTTTATGCATATTATATATTACATGTATCAATAGGCCATTTGCATGATGGCGTAACTTTACTACAACTACCAGAAAGCCTTGCGCATTTTCTTTGTTATTCAGATTTTTAATCCCCTTAGCGATTAGTAAAACAATTGGCACTAATTGCATTACAAAAGAAAGTGGGCAAAGCATTCTGGTAATTGTAGTAAATGACACCATAATGCAAATCGCCTATTAAGCAGTATATTTCCGTTCACACCACACATAGAATATATAGATATGGTACAATCACACGGCTGAATAGAATCATTTATTTAGATATTGATAGTCAAACAAACGACAAAAAATTGTGACAAAACAAATTTTATTTCTATTTTTTTAAATTTTAATTGTTTTAATTTTAATTATTTTTTATTTTAATTTTAATTTTTTATTTAATTTTAATTTTAACTTAAAAGTTTACTAGTTCTGATTCCATGTGATTCGGCTCTATGTAACTCTGCATATCTGAGCATTGCAGCCAATCTTTATGAAATTTCTTAATAAGAAAATAAATTTTGTGCCGATATTGAGTTAGTTTTTTTCTTTATTGGTTTGTTGGTTGAAAATTTGCGTTAAGGATGGTGTATTGCAGATCCATATTTAGTAAACAAGGTTTATCGGTTGGTATTGGTGGGTTGGTTTGTTGTATGCTTGGTTGAGTTGGTTGGTTGGTTGGTTGGTTGGTAGGTTGGTTGGTTGGTTGGTTGGTTGGTTGGTTGGTTGGTTGGTTGGTTGTATGTTTGGTTGGTTGGTAGGTTGATTGGTAGCCTTGGTTGGTTGGTTGTATGCTTGGTTGGTTGGTTGGTTGGTTAGCTGGTTGATTTGTTGTGTGTTGCTTAATTGACGACTAGATGGATGCCGGTTGAGTGGGTTGATTAATTGATTTGTTTGCTGCTTTTTGAATACGATTGCTTAATGTAAGAGTTGGCTGTCTGAGTGATGAGTCAGGCCGATCGTTCAACATTTTTAAGTAACGCTGAAATTTCCATTTGTTGATGCTACAATCGATGCCATGTTTCAAATCCCAGATAACCAGGAGGCTTGACATGATCATGAATGGTGCGTGATACTTAAATAACATACATACAAAATGAGAAGACGTATACAAGGGACAAATTGACAACGTGAAATGAAAGCAGGAGTCTGAATGATCTTTTTGTTTCACTAGTAGAAGGTCGAATCCGACAATGTCATTCCAGTTTGACAGCGACCARAACGCCAACCAATCAACAACCAAAATTACTTATTCAAATATTCAGAAATGATCAAAGTCGCAATAATTAATTCTCTGTTTGACTTATTGTGATCACATCGTGAAAAAGAGTTATTCCCAAAGTAACTGCGTTTGACTTGTAAAGAACAAGCGARAATGCAGCAAAGGCTGCCATTTCTGTTTCTRACYGGTTTTCTAGTATTTCTGTCSTTAAACTGTGCTAGCTTTGTCCATGGCGTATCRCGAAATGAAGATGAAGAGTTACGCGAAGGAGAATTGGGTTTCACAAACACCTGGGCTGTCGAGCTTGACACAGAAGACGAAGACGTAGCCAAAGATATTGCTAAACGTTACGGCTACGAATATGGAGGCAGAATTGGTTCACTTCCAAAACATTTCATGTTTATTCGTCGAGATGATAAWGAAAAAGCTCTTCTAAATGAAGTACAACAAGACGAGAGCGGTGGAGAATCGAACAAGAATTACAAAAGAGTCCTTGAAAAACATCCTAGGGTAAAGTGGGCTGAGAGACAAGCTGTTCTTCAGCGAGAAAAACAGATAGATAAACGGCACTGAGAGCTCTARTTTATGYATACTGACTTAACMTGAACGGTGAGTTTTGCAAGTAGACGTTGCATAAAAACAGCGAGCCCGGAATGCAGTCCCGAACTGTTTCAATACTAAGTTGATAAAGCTGTAAAATTCTCGTGATTCAACAACTATATCTTATAGTTTTGTAGGAAAGTAAATACAAGCTTTCAATAAGATTCRTTTTTTGAAATTATATCAATTTAAGGACTAGCTCTTTCGACTATATATAGTATTATGGTCATTTCGTCAAGTTTAATCCATCTTACTGCTTACAGATCATGCTATGTCATTTTCAAGGGCGATTCAGTACAGTCGTTTGGTCCTAGAATAGTTGATATTCTAAGTAAAAAGCCATTGTGTTACGAAGAACATAAGATTATTATAGAATCTGATGATGCGTGCCATGGACAACAGATGAACAAGAACTGCATGCATCAGTTTAAATTGACAGCTAAAGAATAATTATTTTGATTAATATAGACATCTTTTGTTAACAAAATGTAATTAAGATATTACTGTTTTCGAGTTATGACTGGTAAACATTGAAAAAAGCTACCAAAATTACAAATAAATGTTTGCGAATGATCGTTTAAAATCAAC